CCCCCCCACCACCACCCCCGGGCTGCTATACTACGTAGGGTAAGCACACACGAATACTAGTACATTCTATATTCCTGCATGCACAACGAGAAGGACAAGTAGTAATTTTTAGACCACACCATCTTTATAGATTATCTTTCGACACTACGCAAATTATAATTATCTCACTGACCTCACTATTTGCTGAATATCTGACTGATCACTTAGTTGACCCTCTGGATCGCTCTATATTGTTTGGCGACTGGGCACGAAAGTAGTGGTAAGATTGGTATAAAGGAGGTTAACCAAGCTGACTATTCCCACAAGGTCCATGAAGTCATAAATAATGCGACATGTTTGCGTATCATAGGAGGAAAAAGTTAATGTCGTTAATCATATCAAGTATTAACTGAAATTAGAAGCCATACGATTTGTCTGCACTGTTTGCGCAATACAATCTCCGACTGTGCACACAGGTCACGCAGGCTAGCCAGGGGGACCTTTTGGGATTTGTATCCTCTTGTCGTGAAAAAGAAGCAGATCACCGCGACACAACGATTTTTTCACCGACTACCGCGGCGTAAAATTTAAACTTACCGCAAACCGCTTGGACTCTCAAAACCGCAATACCGTACTTTGAAATAAAAATTACCGCAACACCGCACCAAAAATGACCCAATACCGCAATACCGCAAACCCTTACGCCCCCCTCTATAAGTGACCGGTCATATGTTTTTATTTCAACTATAGGGACGGTCCCTGAAGCGCACTAAACAAACTGAAATAACAGAATGTGATCTAATCACCTGTCGCCTGTGAGGCAGAGATAAATCAATTTGTTCTGTTTTCCCACATTTCCTCTAGCATACATTATCTTCACTTTTGTAACGAATTGACACGATAGTAGTGCGACTCCACCCAAAGCTGTAAGTTTCCCCTCCAGTCAAAGTGGCATAATACGTAACTGATACTTGACAGTAACTTGGCTATTAACTGCTAGAAGGAAGTGCGTCATTTCAATTTCATTTTTTAAAATGATTCTAGTAGAATTTGAAAGAAGTAAAACGGCAAAGCGTCCTCTTTAAAAAGAATCAGATGGCTTACTCTGATTTCAACACGGGAGCAATCGACCTGTCAAAATGGTACCATGTTCAGAGCTGATATGATTTTGGATTTATAATTATATGATCCTACATCTCGTCGATCGGCCTCCAACTTTTGCCTAAACAATACGATTGTGTTGCAGCAAAAACAGGAGAACGGAAGTTGAAGGAAATAGGGCTAGTAGAAGTATTTGCTGAGAACATTTCACCCTTAAAACACAATTAATCCCGAACAGATTTGTCGAGGCGGTTCAAAACTCTTATGAACCAAGAAGAAAGAAAAGAAAAGAAAGAAAAGTGGGATTAAAAAAATGAGGCACATGACAGACACCGTAAACTAGGTAAAAAATGCAAGCATTCATTATAAGATTATGAATACGCCTTCAGAGCTGCTACCTTTGATGAACGTTGCAAAATCACCCAGGGGAGTGATACAAATCCTTATATACTGACTGAACCCCGCGTGTCTGACAAATATCATATTGTGAAGCAACCACAAACGGCGATTTATATTATCACATACCTGAAATGATAACAAGGAATGCTGAGCCAATATAAAGTACAAGCATGCTGGCTGAAAACATATTTCTAGAAATCATGAGACAATCGAGCTTAGTGCATGTGTTATTCCGGCCTTTTAAGGATGAAATCAGCTTCTTCCTAGGATCGATCCGAGCCTATTCATCACATAAATCGCTAGTCGTTCTCTGCTTCTACTTTTTCACTTGCCTCTCTATATATTTCTTTTAGCCAATTGGGATTTGCTAGGAATCAGCACTATTCAGTTTTTCCGTTTAAGTAATTTAGCTAGTTGACACGCAATACACTTCCACGGATTTTTGGCGGGATCTCTGGAGGCAGTACAATTTTAACGCCAAGCAACCTACAGACCAATCTTAGCATAAACGCATGCAATAAAGTATAGAGCCGGTTATTTTGTGCACCCCACACTGACCTAAAAGCCTGGTTGTTAGATTCGCTAATAAGACAACGACGGCGTTTTTTGTTGTTGTTTTTGTTTTCCCTTAATTTATTGGACACGCAACTTATCAACCCTCCCATCGAGACTGAAATAGACCTTTTTAGCTCTGTGTATGTTTTGTTTTCTCATGTCAGGCTATGTGATGCCACCCCAGAGATCAGTGTTTCTGCAAATGTCATCTTATCCGCGTTCCCACATAAGCAAGGTTAAGGAGAGGCAAAAGGATGATGCCGTTGCATGCCTTCCATGCTGTAGTGCTTGCTAAAACCGGATTCTTTGACTTCCTAGTCTACCAATATAAAGCCCATAACCTGGCAAAATATGTAAAACATTAGACCAGGAGCCGATTACCTGATAAGACTGATTCCTTAGCTTTCAATCGCCGTCGTTGATCAAATAATTGATCCCTGTGTGATAATAAGTTCTTTGGGTTGGCAATGAATTTCCTCATTATGAGTAGCTTTCGATATCAGGGCCATAGGAAGGCTTTTGGACCAAACACGATCAACCATTGCCAAGGCGCTAGCCACTTAGCAGTCTGGGGGCATGCTCCCAGACGATTTTTAGCATTTCTTATGAGGTATTTCATCGGAAATGTCAACCTCGTTCAACAGAGGATTATTTACCCAACTAAAAAAACGACGTTTTTTTTTCCATTTCCAACTGAAATCGAGATTCGTCTTGCCTATTGCTAACTTTGACATTAAATGAGGACACTATAACTAATTTCGTGTTTTGCTGATGGCTTTTAACCTTAAAAGTAAACTTTTTACAAAAGTTGGGAAGGTGTATGTTACTCTTAGACGTTTTACATGGGAAAATGTTCCAATCAATTGAATAATTTTGACCAAAGTATTATATCAAGCATGAGACGTAGTGTTTCATCACCATATGAAACACTGAGAAGAGA